GTCTCCTCCTGTGTGCATGTCCCTGTCTCCTCCTGTGTGCATGTCCCTGTCTCCTCCTGTGTGTCTTTTTATTTGCGTCTTTCTGTCCCTGTGTCAACCGGGACAGACAAGTTCACGAGGTACCTGGCTCCAGATCTGAACTCCTTCATGATGGATTCTCGTTCTTTCTGTGGCATGTCTCCATGCATGGAGGACACTGTGAAGTTTGCCTCTCTCATCTTCTCAGTCAGCCAGTCCACCTGAAACAACAAAGACACTCAAAATATGTTTCCCACAAGGCGTTGCTGCTGCAACTATACTCATAACCCTGTCCCATGTAACTGGTTTCAGATCAGTGTCAGTTCAGTCCTGGTGCAGGTCTCTGGAGTCTCTCCTGCCAGGTCAGTGGGTGGGTTTCAGAGTCAGAGTCAGAGTTTCTTTATTGTCATTCGCACCTCATGTGGTACATGTGGTGGAGCGAAATTATGTACACAGGGTCCCAGTTACATCCAACAATAAAATGTCTAAGAAAAACAGTAATAACATCTAAGATATGAACTAAGAAAAACATCAACTAAATATACACTAAGCACTCATAACATAAAACATTGAACATCAGCACAAACATGAACATGAGTCTGTGAGCAGATGTGCACGCATGAACACATCAACATTGAAACAGATCAGCAGCAACATGAAACAGATCAGCAGCAACATGATATGTTTTTTCACAGTGATTATTCTAGTTAGAGATTCATGAGTCTAACAGCCTCAGGGTAGAAGCTGTTCCTCAGTCTAGTGGTTCTACACTTAATGCTCCTTAACCTCCTTCCTGAGGGGAGTGGGGCAAAAAGTGTGTGTGCTGGGTGAGTGGGGTCCTTCATGATGCAGGTGGCCCTCTTCCTGCATCTGGAGGTGTAGATGTCTGTGATGGTGGGGAGACTGATTCCAACAGATTTCTGTGCAGCCTTCACCACTCTCTGCAAAGCTTTTCTTTCTGCAGCTGTGCAGCCTCCATGCCACACGTTGATGCTGGAGCACAGGATGCTCTCCACTGCACACCTGTAGAAGGAGGTGAGGACTGAGCTTCCCAGACCAGCTCGCCTCAGCCGTCTGAGGAAGTAGAGTCTCTGATGAGCTTTCTTGATCAGGCTGGTGGTGTTGTTGCTCCAGCTGAGGTTGTCATTCATGTGTACACCCAAGTACTTGTAGCTGGAGACCACTTCCACCGCAGATCCTCCTATGTTCAGGGGGGTGTAGGTGTTTTTGTTCCTTCTGAAGTCCACAATCATCTCCTTTGTCTTCTTCACATTGATGTGAAGGTTATTCTCTCTGCACCAGCTCTCCAGGTGTTCCACCTCTTGCCTGTAGCTGGACTCATCATTGTTTGTGATGCATCCCACCACCGCTGTATCATCTGCAAACTTTACAATGTGACAGCCTGGATGGGTAGCTGCACAATCATATGTGAGCAGAGTAAACAGAAGGGGGCTCAACACACATCCCTGAGGAGAGCCAGTGCTGAGGGTTATGGTGGAGGAGGAGAGGTTGTGGATCCTCACTAACTGTGGTCTGTTTGTTAAAAAGTCTAGTACCCAGTTGCAGATGGAGGGGCTTAGTCCTAGTGTGGATAGTTTGTCCATCAGGGTTTGGGGGATCATGGAGTTGAAGGCAGATGTGAAGTCCACAAAGAGCATACGGACGTAAGAGTTTTTCTGCTCCAGGTGGTTGAGCGCAGTGTGGACCACAGAGGAGATTGCATCCTCTGTTGATCGGTTCTCACGGTATGCGTACTGATGAGGGTCCTCGTTGATGTTGATGGTTGTTTTGATGTGAGTCATGACCAGTTTTTCGAAGCATTTAGCGACTATCGGGGTGAGGGCTACTGGCCGATAGTCATTCAGACCAGTCACTGTAGAGCTTTTTGGGACTGGGATGATGGTGGCAGTCTTCAGGCAGGTGGGAACTGTCTCCAGGGTAAGTGAGGTGTTAAAGATGTCTGCCAGCACCTCACAGAGCTGATCAGCACATTCCTTCAACACTTTTCCGGGGATGTTGTCTGGGCCAGTTGCTTTGTGCGGATTAATCCTCCTGAAGGTACTCCTTACTTCTGCTGAGGTCACGCTGAGATGCTCTTCATCCGGTGGCGAGGTGAGTCTGGTGCTGGGTGGTCTGTTTATGGTGCAAGTTGTGCTTATTCCAGACTACAGCCGGGTTGGTCTAATCCAAAGCCTCTGCCATCGAGGAGCAGTTCCGCTCGGCTCTCATCTCATCAGTTCTTCTCCACTGTGACTCGTTTCCCCGCTCTGTGGGCGGGATCATCAACACAAAGTGGGCGGGATCATAACAGTTCATTGTTCTTGCCACTCTGCCTGTTCTGGTCCTTAATCGTCCTATAATCTGACTTGAATTTCTTTAGCTTATCTCGGCGTTGCTCATCAGTCCGGGTATAGCCATGCTGCCATCATCTCTAAGGTCTCTGTACATTAGCTCATTTTTTGTGGCGCTGTCCGTCAACACGATAAGGAAGTGGAAGTGGAGGAAAAACAGTAGGAATGACTTCCCTTAATCAGCTTTTTATTTTCCTTTCAGGTTACCGGTAATTTGGCCTGTGCTGGGGCCACTCAACTGGCGGCCTGCAGGCCAAGTAGGGCCGCGGGTGAACTCAGACTGGATCGTCATTGGGTTCATTTTGAAATGTTTACATCCTGTGTGTTTGTGAGAGTGTTAATTGTTTATTTAAGGATCCCCATTAGTTTTTATCGTAATAGAGACTATTCTTCCTGGGGTCCACACTTAAAACGTTGCAATTAAATCAAGCTTTTACAAACATACAACATACAAGACATAATTAATAAAATACCCAAGATAAAAAAAAAATAATAATAAAAAGTGTGTACATGTCTGACCTTTCTCTTAGTGTTGCAGAAGATGACAGCCTGTGTGATGGTCAGAGTGTCGTACAGATCACACAGAGTGTCAAACTTCCATTCCTCCCTCTCAACAGCAACGAAGAACTGTTTGATGCCCTCCAGAGTTAACTCATCACTGAGACATGAAGACAGCGAGACAGAGGGACAGACACAAAGAGAGATTTGTTACAAGTTCATGCTAAAGATTGTCTCACTGCTTCGAATTGATTCTCTGTAGGCTTTCATTTCCTCTTGAACTTTCTAAACTGGGTCTGGATGGTTCTGAAGGATAAATGAATGTTTCTTTCAGTCAGACTCTTCAACTTGTCGTGTTTGTGAATTCACCGTTTGACCAGGATGCGGATTGGGTCAGTCATGAACTTGTTGGTCATCTCCAGAATCTCGTGCGGCAGTGTGGCACTGATCAGAACCACCTGGGTGGCTGGAGGCAGGTACCGGTACACATCGTAAATTTGCTCCTTGAAACCTGAGAGGATGAACATAATGGAGAGGAAACACCCAAGAGTCACATGACTGACAGCAGGATCAAGGTTTGTTGGATCATTCCCTTTTGTCAGATCCATCCATGCTCCAACACAGGAAGTCACCTGAAACCAGGTGAGTCACCTGCACCCAATCAGCCTCACCTTTATTGAGCATCTCGTCAGCTTCGTCCAGGACCAACATCTTGATGGCTCTGGTTCGGAGACTTCTGCGGCGTATCATGTCTGCAGGAAACAACAGGTCACGTGATTCACCTCCACTCTGACATCAGCAACATCAGCTGGGTGAGAGTGGGTGGAGTCAAAGCGGTTTCTGGTTGAATTAACCAGTTCACCCAACTCGTTGCCTCCAAGGCTCATGTACACCTGACCCAACCAATCTGGCAGAAACTGCACACCTGCAGACACCGTGTCAGGGCACCTCAGGTCTTGTGACTCCATACAGCAACAACGATGACACTTCAGTCACTTTTCTGAAAACTTGTCATCAGGTGAGTTTGGCTCCACCCCATTAAACTTGGTGAGGTGTGTTTGCAACAGAGTGAGCGTTTCTGATTGGGGATCTGGAGGTGACTCACCAAACACTCGTCCAGGTGTGCCTGCCACCACGTGTTGCCCGTAGTCCAACTTGCGGATGTCCTCGCCCACGTTGGTGCCTCCGATGCAGGCGTGACACTGAACGTTCATGTAGTCTCCTAAAGCCAGCAGGACCTGTGCAGGAGACAAACCACCAATCAGAAACAGCAACGCTCACACACCATTGGCTGAGTGATACTGGGGGTGGACCTACCTTCTGAATCTGTCCAGCCAACTCTCTGGTTGGAGCAAGGATGAGAGCTTGTGTCTCCCTCACCTGCAACAACAAAAACAGGACATCAGTCCCTTGTCCAAACGACAACAACAGAATCAGTCTTTTGTAACAACAACAACCACCAAAACAACAACAGAACATTAGTCTTGTCACAACAACAACAAACTGAATATCGGTATCTTGTCCCAACAACAACAAGAGAACATTAGTCTGTTGTCCTAACAACAACAAAAACAACAACAGCCTGTTGAACCAAACCAAAGAACAGATCAAGATGATCACATTTGACGTGAACATTGTGCGTTCGTCAACTGGATCTTACGCTAGTTTTATTCTGACACCAGTTTCCAACATGGTCATCGCGATGTGCTGCAAGTACAGTTTCATCAAGCCTGAGCAAGTTCTGTTGAACCGGGCCTGAAGCAAGACTGGACCTGTCCGATTGAGAAGCAACTGAACACTGACCTGGATGTCGAGACACTGCAGAACAGAGATACAGAAGGTGGCCGTCTTTCCTGTTCCAGACTGAGACCTGTAGGGGTCAAAGGTCATATGTTAGTCACAACCACTAGAGGTCAGAGACACATTCAGAGAGCTGATCAGAGGGCAATGATTAGCTGCGGTGCTGCTTACTGAGCGATGACGTCCCGACCTTTGATGATCTGTTTGATGGCTCTCTGCTGAATGGCTGATGGCTTCTCGAACCCTGAAACAGAGAGATTGAAGCGGGTCAGGACAGCCCGGGTCAGACAAGCACTTCAGGACAAGTAAAAGAAAGAAAGCTTCGTTAAAAAGGCATCCTGTAGGAATGTATTCCGATACCTCCCAGAGTCTAGGCCCATGTGCCATAATGGTGCTGTTCTGTTCCCCCATCTAGAGCTGATTCCACACCAGCTTTGTTCCATTTTCTCCACTCCTGTTGTTTCAACATTTATTACTAAAACGCTCAAAGATCAGTGTCCTCTGTTTACTGTAGGTCAGTGGTTCCTAAAGTGTGGGAACCACAGCAGTTTAAAAATGTTTTATGCAGAAAACGTCGAAAACAAGTCCGGACTAAAGGTTCGAGCACTACGAATCTTTTTCACCATTTAAAACAGCGCCATAAAGTGGAGTATGAAGCGTGTGAAACTGCGAGCTGCAGCCCCGACTGTGAAGACTTCCCAGCCTCCTTCCCTCCTTTATTTGAGATTTACACAAGAGATGCACCGACTAAAGGATGACATTTTGTTCATTTCATCTGATCTGTTTACGTTTTGTCATTCGCACAGAGTTGCTTGTACGGGAGCACACAGAAGTGAGCTCCTTGCTGAACTCTACTTCATTAGAATCAGACTTAAAAGAGCAAGTCAGTCATTCGTTATATTTTCTCTGCCTTTTCTGTTTTAATTTTAAGTGCACAGCTGTGTTTTTGTCAAGTTCTTCTTCTTCTTTGATTTTCTTGGCGGTTGGCAAACAGCTTTTTAGTGTGCATTACCGCCACCTTCTGAATTGGAGTGTGAACCAGAATTAAACCCTAACCTATATCTCCTGAAAAGTTCTGATTTTACAAGAAAATGAAAAAAAGGCCCGATTTAAAATGTGATTTGAATTCAAGCGAAACAACTCAACTAAATTGTACTTTTTGCTCATGAAATCGATTTTGAAGAATAACTATGATATTTTACACAATCTATAAGTACATGTTCTACTGTCTCTTGTGATTGGCCACGTTCACAAACTCCTGTAGGATGTTTTCCTATTCTTTTTAGATGTGAATTTAAATATGTATGACCAAATCTAAGTCTTGATAAAATATCCTCTTCCCTCCTCCTCGATGTTTCCCTCATCCTACCCACACTTTTTTCAATAGAATAAAAATGTCTCCCTTTCTGCTCCTTGTCCCATTCCTCCTGCCATTTCTTATTCATTTCTTCCTTTACAATAGATTTTATTTCTGATTTGCTGTAAGAGACTGATAAGGAAATTTCTATCTTTTTAGTGGCTTCTTTAGCAAATTTATCTGCAAGTTTATTACCTAAAACCTCTATATGAGCCGGGACCCAAATTAATCTTACCAAAACTCCTAAACCATTAATTCTATATAGTGTTTGTAAAATTTCTAATATAACATCATGCCTTGATTGAGAATGAGCAAACTTTATACTGCAGATTGCACTACTGGAGTCTGTAGCAATTAATAGACTGAGACTTAATACTTAATGCTAATAAGCATTAAGTACACCTTACACCTTAATGCTAATAAGATAGCTATTAATTCACCAGTAAATACAGATAATTTATCACTGATCCTTTGATTAGACATGTAACCTATTTCAGGTTCGATAAAAGCAACTCCTAACCTATGTCCAATTTTTGAAGCATCAGTATAATTTTTTTGATATTCAGAGTATTTAGATTGTAAATGAGTTTCAACATCAAGCTCATTGAGTGTTTTCCTTTTAACAGATAAGTATCAATAATTGTTTCCCCCAGAACCCAAGGAGGCACAACTGTATACGCCACTGTAGGGCTTACATTCATTTGGTACAATTTAATATATTTTTTATAATTTTTCAATAGTCCATCCAAAACTCCTATACTTACCTCTTTTTGTTTAGTTATGCTGGAAAATAACTTTTACTTTATATGAAGAGGATTATTACTTAATATATGAAAATAGTTTATTTTTTAGGCATTTATTTTGTAGTTATTTGTTAATAAATGTGTCTGTGTGACAATTGGACCAACGTTTTCACTCAGAAATATATTTTTGTTATTCCTTGATGGAAAGAAAATATAGATATATCGTATACCGCCATTCTTATTAATGTAAGATGTGGGGCCGGAAGCGGATCCGATCCATAACAACCACGGCTCTTCCCGGAGCAAATGCTCAAACACACCGAGAACCAGGTGTAGTCCAACCGAACCAAGCGGGAGATACCGCCTGAAAATAATCGAGGAACTACTGACACTGAACTTTAAACCGAACCCCTCGAGTACATTTCTGTTCTGAGCGGCGGTTAGCTTTAGCCTCCTGCGCTCTGCCCCGGAGGCCGCGCTCATCCCCGGCCTACCGTAAGCGTAGATCCCGCGAAGCAGGTCCTCTCGCAGTCCCATCGTGTCGAAGGTCGGTGTGACGTCGACCTCTTCACTGGTCTCAAACTCCACCTTGGTCATGTCCTCGTCCTTCAGCATCCTCTTCCTGACCTGTGTCACGGCTGTAGCCATCTTGTAGAGGTTTACTTTTAGGCTGAATCTCGGTAATCTGGTAAAAACGTAACAACGAGACGCTGCTGGGATATGCTAACACGTGTCGCCTTAGTGACGTATACAAAAGGCGACACGCTTCTTTCCGGAAATTGAACTTTTTTTTTTTTTTACGTTCAAATTTTTTTTCTTCAAGATTTTGTAAAAATAATGCTTTTATTTTGAAATTTAAAAAAATAATAATAAAATGCAAAACAAATACAAAAAAATTCGGATATATTAATTTGCAAATTCCAAAACAAACATCTATCCAAGTCCAAGACTATTTTATTGTCATTATCATATGTGGTACGTGAGGTGGAACGAAATTATGTACACGGGGTCCCAGTTACACCCAAAAATAGCAAAATATAAAGTTTAAAAAAAAAAGTAAATAATGATCTAAGATATACGCTAAATAAACGCCAACCAGTACGCTAAAGATCCAAGATACACTAAGCACTAATAATGTAAAACAATATGGTGTATCAACAGCAGCCCATATAAGAGTCTGTGGTGAGCAGATAGATATGAATGAATACAGCAGCATGAGATCATGCAGCAGCATAATCAGCAGCAATCACATATCATTACAGTGATTTTTTTGGCTTTGAGCTGTCTGGGGGAATGTAATGTAAGGTAATTCACAATTTCCAACATTTTCCCGAGTTTATAGATTATTTTTGGAGGAAGAACTGGTCTGTGTAGCCATTTCCCACAATGTGGTTGAGTAGCAACTTGTTCATCCAGGACAAAACAAAAACAGTCTCTCTCTCTCTCTCTCACACACACTTTATTGATTAAAGACCATGCAAATGTACAAAAAAGGTTCAATTTATATACAAAAAGGCACAAAAAGCATTGCAATTAAAATAAAAGGTATGGGTGCAACCAAAAAAAAAATTAAGAATGTAAATAAGATACTGAAGAAAGAAAAAGAGGGAAACCAAAACAAAGGGCAGGGTATTCCAACTGAGCCAGTGGGTGTACTTATTATGCATCAATTTAATGTTGTAAATGGTGGGGGGTGAATATAAACCCAATGGTGCAGGCAGGCAGTCCAGGACTCAGGAGATTATATTAAATAAAGAATTTATTTACAAAAAAACAAAAGGCTGGCAACAAGACTTACATGAATTACAAGGCACAGCCAGTACATCACCAGTGGACAGCATTCATCACCAGGACATAGGACTAACACAGAGACACAGACTATATACAGCGACTAACGAGACAAAACACCTGTGAGGACACACAGCTGAAACAAATTAGGGAAAAGGACGGGAAACCCAGGGAGTGCAGGAACAGAGACACAACACCAGATAGAGGCATACACTAGAAAAACACAAACCCTATAGATAACAGAATCTGAGGATAAGGAGAACACAAGATATAAACAAAACACAAGATGGGGCTAAATACCAGGAAACAGACCACAATCCATACATTTAAGAGCTTTACAATATAAAACAAAGTCTTTGTCAAAAACACATCATTTTGGCTTGACTTTAAAGTATTTGCTTTGTGGATGAACAATTTTACCAGGATGATTAATAGTACTGGTATTTATGAGAAAATCATCGTTGTCACTGTTCATAAAAAGTCAGATAACAATTCAACTATTTCCTGCAGGATCTATAAAGTTATATCTTATCTTAAATTATGTCTTTGCTAGAGAGCATTTTGAGAGCGGGAACTTTGTAAAAAAAAACAAAGATATCAGAACACAATGCTTCAACAAACATGCAGTGAGAAAGAAAATGCTCAAGTTAATTAAACAGTTATTGGTTTCAATAGCAAACCGTTGTTGAGTAAAGAGACTGGAGGGAGAGTTTTCATTTAATATTTTAAAGTGGACTTCTTTGGTTCTATTGGACCTTTGATGTATTTGTAACTCATGAACTGATTGTGGGGTAAATCTGACAAATGTACTTTTTAAATGGTAGAGGATAGACTTTTGTCAAATGTGTGCCTATAATCTTATTGGAAAGGTTGTAGTTCTTAAAATAGTAATTTCCAATCAATAATTGTGCTAAACCATGGATGAATGAGCCAGAGCAGCCCAATCAAACAAATTCAGGAATTTAAATCTTATTGGTTTGTTTTAAAATTAGACTGACAGCCATTACGACCAGGTCCGACTAACGGTAACACAGACCAAATGCCTTTTTCCATCCAGTCCTTCTAAAACTTGTTCTTATAGAACGATTGTTCCAAATTGGTAAGTGAAATTATGACATACAGAATCTTCCACTACAACACTTCGTCCCTGACACTAACACGACAGGAAGACGTCGAGTCATGAAGTTTTTAAAGACAATTTATTTTGAGAGTTCCATTCATGAAATTGGTCGTCATCATCAGAATATTTCATCATATCCGTGTTTCCGTTTCTACCGTAAAAAAAAAACAGTTAGTCGGACTGATTTTTCTAACAGCTTATTTTGGGACAGCTAGCGAGTGTATTGATTTAATTTTAGTTAGAAAGACTCTACCAACAAACTAACGCCCTTAACAACAACCCCAGACTGACATTCCTCAACAACTTTCCACACTTTTTAGAAACAAGTCTGTTCGATGTTGGTTCTGAACCTCATTCACATGATGGATTCACATCAGTTCACATTTAAGCCAATTTAATTGAAGACCAGGGGGTTTTGAAAAAATATTAATGACTTGGAAGGATTTCTGAGTCTCATTTACATCCGTCATGTGCCATCTGCTAATTGGCTGATGAGTAGTCTATTTAACACTTTATAAGGAGTAATAAGAGTTTTTAACAGAAATTGACAGCATCACTGCAAACATTATGATACATTATCATTCAGAGGGAACTCTGCCCTGAGAACCTGCTGTCTACCAAATCAACCTCGTATCTCCATCTGGAGGCCGACTCGCTGACGCCCATGGATCATGCCTGTGCAGATGGCTATGAGGGAACGCCCGCTGGACTCTGCTGCTGGATAAGTCTACAGATGGCTCTATTTGACGCTCTATCTGTGAAATGTTCCATGCTTTGTGTATCTGTAATCTGTTTTGAGTGGGTCCTTGCATGTAAAATGCTGGTTAAAAATCTTCTGCTCTCGTGTGGCTCTCATGGGTAAACGTTAAGAGATTTTCTCCATCACATAGGACAGTCTGGGTTAATTCTGCGTTCTATGCAGAACTGAGAAGTTCCTCGTGGCAGTGAGATCGAGGAGGTTGCATTCTTATAAAAACATTTGATATTCTGAAAGGGAGTACCAAAACCAAAAGATTTCAAGCTGCGGAAAATAAAAGCATGCTGGACGGAGGCGAAAGCCTCATAAAAGTCCAGGAAAACAATAAAACCATCACTCCCAATGGGATGGTTCTAATCAGTGAAGTCCTATAGATAAAGTTTTATTGTACATATTTCACATAATCAGTTATTCAATATAAAAACATTCCACATGAATTGACCTGAACTGTGACATCATCACTGTGCGCCTCTGTTCAGCCTCCAAGTGTACTCTGTGGCCCCTGCGGTTGTCATGGCGATTCAAGCTTATTTTTGCCTCCATGATGACTTTGAGTTATGCATGTTCTTAAGCTTTATAAAAGTGAAAACTCAGAGTTTGCAGATAAACTCAGAGTTAAGAGTCCCTTCTGGACAAATTGGTTTAGAAATCCAGAAGAAAAAAAAAAAGATTAAAACAAACAAGTTTAGTCAAAAAGGTTTTATTGGTCATTGAATGTTTAAGAAACATGAGGACAAACAGGAAGCAGCTGAAACTCCTGATCCAGGTCAGGCAGGGCCCAAGACCCAGAACCCAGTCCCAAGTTTGGAGTCCAGCTATGGCATACCATCATGAGCTTCAGTTTCCAGATGGCGTCCTTGAATGCAGCATCAGCAGTTGTAACCTGGTTGGGATCAGAACACCAGCTGAGATGGGTTCTCGGGGCTGATGATGGACAGGTCTGTAAAGAGTCTGAACCTGGACAGGTGTGCTGTCTGTAACGCAACTGCGTCAATAAAGTTCATGCCCCTTCAGGCTCGCTCACATGATTACATCCTGACAACACAAACTTGAGTCAACTCGACGCCGATATATAAAAACAAACCTGCTGCTGCTGGACTTAGAACTCTTACTTTGAAAAGCAGATTTCCACTTCCTGTCACTCCCTGATCTTCTTGGATTCAACCATCCTTCACCAGGTGCGGCATGTGACTCTGTGATGTCATGTGACCGTTGTAGCTTTTCTACAAAGGGAGCAACAGGTGAGCTCACCTGAACAATGTCGCCACAAAGAGAACTAAACAGGAAGCTGCTTCCTTCTCTGTGTCATGTGACCCTCAGTCTTCTTTTGATTGGTGGACGTCCAGATTAACGACCTGAAGCTCTGTCAGGTTGTTGCTGCTCTGCTGGCTGAGGACCATCTAAACAAACAAACACACACAACAGATAAAATGAAATAAATTACAGTTTGTGTGTGTGTTTGTGTGTAGTCGTGTGTGTGTATAGTTGTGCGGCGTGCAAAGATTTGTGTATTATTGTGTGTAGTATGTAGTCATATACCTGGTGCAGCTGGACGGCAGAAACCGGGATCTGAGCAGCGACAGGAGGAAGAGAAGCGAGGAAGACCTGCTGGACGGCAGCTAAAACAAACAAACAAACACTGAGTTTGGTTGGTTCCAGTTTGACGGGACCGCTGACTACTGGAGTCGTACCGGGGTCATGTGACGTGTTGAGAACGGTGAGGCTGCCATCATTCAGTGAGGGTGTTGGTGCAGCATACATCACTGTGTGACCGCCGGGGTACATCATGTGACCTGCCACTGAGGAAGAGGAGGAGACAGGAAGCTGATCAAAGACAAGTCAAACTCTAATCACAGATGAAAATGTCTGACCAGCACCACAGACGTGAAAAGAGTTATGACGTCATAATCAGCAGCAGCTGTCAATCATTTTCATAGAGCCAGATAACGTACATTTTCAAGAATCTAATAAAGAATTATTTCACAATGAATTTATCTTTATTCTGTATCTTGCAGCAGTCCCAGCTGAATGAATGCAGCTCAAAAACTTTACTTTGTTTTCTATAACTAGACTACCGTAATTGTCGGGCTTTAGAACACACCCGTCTCTAAGCAGCACTTATTAAATATAAGATAAATCATAATTTTGTACATAAATATTAGATATTAGTTTCAAAATATTTTCACACCAAAAACTAGTCAGTCTTTTAGAGCTGTCTCAGCCTGAAATAAAAATATCTAATTTAAATTATTTTTAGGAATGCACGATATTATCGGCACGGTATCAGTATCAGCCGATATTAGTGTTAAAGTTAAATATCGGACATCGGCCGTTCCATCAAAATAACTCACAGATATAAAAGACACTGTTTTTGCATGACAACCCAGTGACAAGGATGCCTGCAGCAGCAGCACAACGTGATGACGTCACGCGCGCCTACCTGATCTGATCACGGTGGAGAGGAAGAAGTCAAAACGTCGGCGGTGTGGAATTTTTTTTTTCGATTGAGAATGTCGGATTCCAAAGATTTATGGACTACGTTGAGCCTCGCTACATCGTCCCCAGTATGAGATATTTTCCTGACGTAGCCTTACCCGAGTTACAAGCCGACTCATTTCTGACGTCATTGAGAAGCTAATAGCCGATAGCACTTGGGTGAATTTTACCACAGACATTTGGACGCCGTGATAGCCCCGTTAGCATGATTAGTCTTACGGATACAATGGATAGACAAAAACTTTGAACTTAAAAAGTCTGTCCTTCATGCACAGGAGTGCAGAGGATCCCACACTGCAGCTAGGAACCTGGAACAAGCCTCCACAAGTGAGACAGCATCGCAGGTGACTAATGCTAATAAATAACTTAACACTTTTCATTTAATATAAGTTAAAGTGCTATGTATATCATATAGCTGTTACTGAATATATGTCACCAGCTCTTACAGCTGTTGCACAATTTTTGTAGCAAATAAGCCTAAATAAGAAGACTATGTTCTGACAAAGTATATAAAATATCTGTATCGGCCAAATAAGTTTAAACATATCGGCCAAAAATCCAATCGTGCATCCCTAATTATTTTTATTTTATTTGAACTCTAAGGGTTTTTGTTTAAAAAAATTCTACACTAGTTTTTTTTATTTTTATTGACAAAATATTTATTTTACGGTAATTTAAAAACGGAACGTGTGTTTTTCTCCATTAATTCCAGTGTTTCCCCTAGATAACCTGCCATGGCAGAGTGTTCATCTCGTCCGTGATTTTTGTTGTCGGGGGGGGGGGGGGGGCCGGGGGCCCCGCCCGGGGCCGCACAGCGCGCTGCTTATACCATCAGCTTTACAGTGTGGGGAGACAGAGACACATCTGAGCTGCGCGCTGTTTGTACCAACAGTTTTCGGGTGGGGGTGGGGGGTTCAGCTTGAGGGTTAAGCATGAGGGAAGAAGCTGTCTAACTTTTTAGCTAACGCACCTGTATTGCGAGCCGTTAGCTTAGAGTTAAGTCAGTGCCGACAGGTGAGTGGTGGGGAGTGTGCGCGGTTTGGTATAATATCCATCCATCCATCCATTTTCTTCCGCTTATCCGGGGTCGGGTCGCGGGGGTAGCAGCCTAAGTAGGGAGGCCCAGACTTCCCTCTCCCCAGCCACTTGGGCCAGCTCTTCCGGGGGAATCCTGAGGCGTTCCCAGGCCAGCCGAGAAACGTAGTCCCTCCAGCGTGTCCTGGGTCTTCCCCTGGGCCTCCTTCCGGTGGGACGTGTCCGGAACACCTCACCAGGGAGGCGTCCAGAAGGCATCCTAAACAGATGCCCAAGCCACCTCAACTGGCTCCTCTCGACGTGGAGAAGCAGCGGCTCTACTCCGAGTCCCTCCCGGATGATCGAGCTTCTCACCCTGTCTCTAAGGGAGAGCCCAGACACCCTGCGGAGAAAACTCATTTCGGCCGCTTGTATCCGAGATCTCATTCTTTCGGTCACAACCCAAAGCTCGTGACCATAGATGAGGGTGGGAACGTAGATCGATCGGTAAATTGAGAGCTTCGCCTTTTGACTCAGCTCTCTCTTCACCACGACAGACCTGTACAGCGCCCGCTTCACTGCAGACGCTGCACCTATCCGCCTATCGATCTCACGCTCCATTTTTCCCTCATTCGTGAACAAGACCCCAAGATACTTGAACTCCTCCACTTGGGGTAGGACCTCCTCCCTGACCCAGAGAGGGCACTCTACCCTTTTCCGGCTCAAGACCATGATCTTGAGCCGGAAAAGAAACCATTATACCAAAACCATGGTTTGGTATAATAGTAGGGGAAAACTGAGTTCGCCCTCTAGATCAACATCCACATCATCCTCTGTTCTCCAGAGGTCAGAACTGATGCCTGGTTCTCTCGGCCCAGTCAGAGTGGTTCTGGACCTCCTCTGCAGAGCCAGACTTCCGAGTGGGACTCGGTCCACTCTTCCTCTTCTAAAACAAATCATGATCACCCTCTTCATCAACAAAGTCCTCTCTGTCTGACTCGAGACTTTTCTCCTTCATGATTCTCTCCTGTCTGAGGTTCTGACTCGGCAGTTCCGTCCTCCTCTGGGTCTGCAGCTCATCCTCACGTTCAAAAATCGTCTCATTGTTTTGACTCAAACACAATAAAACTGACTAAACACATTAAATATACCCTAACAATAAAACCCAAACACGCTAAATATCACAAATCTCTCAAACCTTATGACTCACTCCCGCACTCGATATGATTTTATTGCACTGAACTTCATTCAATTTCTGCATTTTTTCTTCTTCCTGTAGATTTTTTGGCGCTTGACAAACTTGGAGCCTCCGTCAGAAAGGAGGGGGGAGGTTATTTGTTTTGTCTCTTGAGACTGTCCGTCTTTGCTGCAGCCTCTCGCTCTCAAGCACTTCAAATACAACTATGATTTTCAGAAAAAACTAATTCAGAACAAATAAAATTATTTTCAGATAATTGATCATAACTCTGGTTTTACTCGGCCGATCAACACGATTCAAAAGTCCGTACTTTAGATTAATTAAAATGGAGTCTCTGAGAGGCTGTGTCTTTCCCGCTAGAGTGAATGAAATCGGTCATGAGACTATCAAGTGTCGATCAAAAAGAAAAAAAAATTGTCAGAGTAGGCGGAGCCAGACACTTGAGTAGGTGGAGAAGCCGCCGCCTGTTATAGAGAAGCAGGCCAGTGAGAGGAGTGGGGAGAGCGTGACAACACAACATGAGACGATAAGCAGAGAGCTGCTCTGTCAGCACTTGTGTTTTGTCCAGCTGTGTGGGCAGTATCTTACCTGAGGAGGAGGCTGAGCTCTGTAGATCAGAGCTGCTCTGACTGGTGGAAACCTGCTGGGAGCTGGGTTGAACCTGGATGGTTTGCACCTGCTGAGACACTCCAGTTCCTAATGATCACACACAAAGTCAGCAGAAACATTACGAGGTTTCTGGAAAAGCGTGAGCACATACACACTCACGCACGCACGCCTTGGATTCGTCCTGACCTGACAGTGGCACAGCGGCGGGGAGGCGGAGCAGGGTGGTTTGTTGTGTAGGTGAAGCTTGCAGTAAGGTGGCGGGGGCTGCATGGCTCTGGACGGTCACAGGTTGGCCCTGCAGCTGGCTGAGGGGGATGGTGTGTGTGCCGGGGGGCAGAGAGGCACCTGTTGAGGGGGCGGAGCCAGAGATATGAGCAGCAGCAGAAAGAGAAGCAGCTTCATCAATGTGTTCTACCTAAGCAGGTGTTGGATTAGTAACGACCCAGTCCCCTGGTTTACGGGTAATGGACCATGTCTCACTGGGGTCGACGGAAAATACACTTCAACTAAAGTAGTTCCAATAAGACACGAGTTCTAACCCGAGTTCAGGTGGTTCAGTTGACCAATTCACCTGGAAGGTGAAGGAGGGTGGAGTTCCGCACAGGTTAACCTTTAGCACCCTTTGAGTCCACCTCCTGTTTCTGTGGCACCACCTACAGTTCCTGTCCTCGGGTTTGGATTTCGCTCTGGGTTCTGCAGTTCAGTGCCACTGACTGCTCAGAGTGCTCCCATCTATGGTTCCTGAACTGCTGAGTCCATATGGCTCTGGTTCTGAGTGCAGGTTGTGCAGTTAGACATTAACTGCTCAGGTAGCTCACCTGGTGATTCAGGTGAATCAAAGGAGAGGTGATGGACAGGTGACCTAAGGTAAATGCTTTAGTGTCATTGGACTAAAAGGATGTACATGTGTGTGTATGTGTGGGAGTCTTTACCTCTCACACAACTGAACACCTGACGAGCGCCTATAGATTCATCAAGTAATATCTGAGTGAGTCAGGGTCTCTGTTCTGAGCAGGCTGGATCGCCACACGCAACTACCTAGGGCAGATGTGGCTGAGTGTTTAGAGCAGTCATCCTCCAATGGGAGAGTTGAGGGTTCAATTCCACCAGCAGTCACATGCTGAAGTGTCTCTGGGCAAGACACTGAACCCTTCATTGCCTCTGATCTGTGTCCCATCGGTGTTTGAATGTGATCTAAAGCACCGATTAGTCTCTACAGATTCAGATTATCTTTGTAGAGTTGTAGTAGAGTGCTGTATTAATGTATGTGTGAAAGTAAATGAGGCACAGATTGTGTTGTAAAGAGCTTTGAGTATCTTGAATAGATAGAAAGTATACAAGTACAGTCCATTTACCATTTTACCTACCTGACATCAAGGTAATTCCTCCAGGGAGGACGACACCTGCTGACGTCTTCAACACCGTCCCGTTGGAGGAGGGGGGCTGCCAGGAGGGGGCGCTGGTCTGCACCTGCAGGGGCAGGGAGGCCTGAGTGACAGCAGGCAGGCTGAAAGTTGGTTTGATCATGTCCTGCAGAGACAAGACAGATGTCCTCATGACGTGAAGAACACGCCTGAGCTCACCTGGAGGAGCACCGGCTGCGCTACCTTCCACCCTCGGCATGGTGTCAGCTATCGGTTTTCTTTACCTGCTCTCTGTTCAAGATCACGGGGAGCAGGACCTTTGTCCACCAGTCACTGGGTGAAAGATGGGGACAGCCTGGACATGTCCCCAATCCATAACAACGTTTGTATGTAATGCAAGTAAAAAAAAGAAAAGCACAGGATGGATTTCACCTCGCACAAACATCCAGGCATGTAGTAAACGAAAAAACGACCGCAAGTGAACTGAGCACTGTGAATGCACTGTGGCTAGGACAGGCGCTAACCATCACCACCCCCAGCAATGCGCCCAGACCGCCTCTACCCCTGCTCCACTACCAGACTGCCTCCACCTCCCTGAGACACTCCCAGACTGCCTCCACAGCCTGCGCCGCAGTGGGTGGAGGGTCCAGATACTTGAATATGGATATATGCCGATACCGATACTGTTCTGATACCAGAGCTCTTGCTTTAATTCTCTGGAGTCCATGATAAAATTGGACATTTTTGGATTATTTTTGATATTTCATATTTCACCCTAAGCAGCCAGTGCATCTTTTGTGCCGGTCCCAAGCACGGGTAAATGGTGAGGGTTGTGTCAGGAATGGCATCCGATGTAAACACTTTTGCCAAAACTAACATGCAAGATCATCTAAGCGACACCATACCGAATCTGTCAAGGCCCGAGTTAACAACCACCACCACCAGTGCTGTTGACAAACAGGGTACAGGCAGAAATTGTGCTACTATTAGACGAAGACCACGAGGAGGGAAACATGTCAGGAGACAGAGGGAGAGGAGGAGAGTCATGAATGTAGGACTGAGGGTGGACACTCTAAATGTGGGGACAATGACAGGCAAAGGTAGAGAGCTGGCTGACATGATGCAGAGAAGGAAGGTAGATGTTTTATGTGTCCAAGAAACCAAGAGAAAGGGCAGCAAGGCTCACAGCATTGGAACAGGGTCGAAACAGTTTTACCATGGTGTGGATAGAAAGAGAAATGGAGTAGGGGTGATCCTGAAAGAGGAGTAGGGCTGTATACTGAACCGAGGTTCTTTTATGGAACTGACTGAACTGCGTCGGTCAGTGTATGGATTGAAACATGACTTTTTTCGTTGTCAAGTTTCGGTATTGGCTGTAGCGCGACAAGTGGTTTCAGCACGCAGGCAGGTAAAACGCAGACATATAGCAAACAGACATACGTGTTTACACCCAGAGGTGTATAGAGAAGCCATACAGCTGTATGTCTATGGTGCTGGTGACGTCCACAGACGGGGTTCACGTGTGCAGCGCGTGTTGTCGAAGAGTTTCAATTTACAAGAAGAAAGTTTCTCCGTGTTTGTCTGCAAGGAGAGAGCAGGACCGCAGCCTCCCCTCCTCCTCTCTCCGCGTTAAAGTCAGCCTGTGAGTGTTGAACGGCCTGAATCATTATCTCCACAGCCGGACTCCTCTTCATCAAAGAACTCCGAGGACGGAGCTGTGTCTGGGATTTCAGCTGGTGAGTTTACGTTTGTTAACGTTACTTCAACTTAATACGTGCATCACGGTGAGTTAAACTAGGATCCATGTAACACTAACTTTAAGATATTAGTGTGGAGCTTTATTTTTTGGTTATGTAGCTAGCTAAAATCAAAAGCTAACTAAAGATTGACAGCAACAGATAAAACCTGGTTGTAAAAATGTGCTTATCCATCAGGTCAGCTGCTTAAACAGTTCACCTAATGCTCACCGTTTGATTATGTTCTCCTCACAGGAGCCTCTGACCCTGATGTGAGGAGGACAGAGAAAAGAAAAGTGAGATGTGGGGGCCACAGGACAGTCACAAACTTTTTTGTTAAAAGTTTGCTGCCTTTTTCTACAGTGGAGGCTCCATGGTGGAGGTAAGTAAGCTGTGAAGGATATTGTTGACCAGTTAAGCTTTTATCTCTCAGCCTAGATAATGTTTTTTGAACAATAATAACACAACCATGTTATTGTTGATGTTTTGTGTTCTAATGTCAAAAAGGGAGATGAGAAGAGCACTAAACCCCAGAGAACCACAGAGAAAATTCAGGAAGAGACACAGAGGTGCAGAAGTCTGCATCAACCCTAACCTCAGTGAATCCAATGACCTGCTGGTGGGATGCGAGGGTCACTAATGCTATAAAACTGGCAACCAGGTATCTGTGTGTGCAACAAGCATCATCCACACCCTCAGAGAGAACACTTCCTACTGCTGGAGACACCATCAGCCAGGAGCAGGCTTGTTTGTGTCCAGAGAAAGCAGACATGTTGATTTTTCTGAAGAAAAACTGCTAAGTGAAAAGGTCCTCAGTGTGTAGCAGTGAGCATTAGACACTGACGTGTCACTGGTTTGCAACTGGTCTTTTGACCTGAAAATTATTTGTTTATTTTTATGTAAGAAAACTGCTTGGAATAGAAAAATATCAAAGTTAAAAAATAAAACCCACAATTTGTACTGTAATGTGTAACGTAATTTTATTCTTGTTAGAATTAATATTAATTACAAAATTGGTACCGAAAAAAGAACCGTCCAGGAACAGACACCGAAGTGAAGGTACAGACACCGATTTTTTTTTAAAAAGGTACCCAGCCCTAAGGAAAAGTTGGCAAAGAATGTAGTAGAGGTGAAAAGAGTGTGATAGGGTGATGTGTCTGAAGGTAGAAGTAGAAGGTCTGATGCTAAATGTTGTCAGTGGTTATGTTCAACAGGTTCGAAGTGATGTGGAGGAGAAAGATAAAATTTGGAAGGATCTGGATGAAGTGACAGAGACATCTCAGTGTCCACAGTTCTACCAAAACTGAAAGCCTATGGTTCTGTTATCCTTCAGTTCCTGAATGTAGCATTACCTTTGGGCCCTCGGGGCTGCCCTCGGTCTCCGTCACCTGGTAGGTGAGGTCTGTTTCTTCAAAGCCTGTGGCACTCATTCTCTGGTCAGAAGACGGATCGGAGCGAGGCGGGGAGTCCGGAGAGTTGAGGCAGGTCTGGATCAGGGCTTTCCCTGTCTCTGAGGTGATCATTGGCTGCAGCTTCCTGGTGGCAAAGGTGTAAACGTGACCTGTCTCACTGGCGACCAGCAGCAACACCTGCGTACCTGTGAGCGTAGACAACTCATACGCCTGGGGGAAGGACATACAAACAACAAGTGAGGAGACTGAAAGAGCCATTTACCTGTCTGCATCCCAGTCATCTGTTCACTTGTCTGCATCTCAACGCTGGCATCTGTTCACCTGTCTGCATCTCACCTCGGGCGTCTGTTCACCTGTCTGCATCTCAGCTCGGGCGTCTGTTCACCTGTCTGCATCTCAGCTCGGGCGTCTGTTCACCTGTCTGCATCTCACCTCGGGCGTCTGTTCACCTGTCTGTGTCTCAGTTAGGGTGTCTGTTCACCTGTCTGCGTCTGTTATGGTGTCTGTTCACCTGTCTGCATCTCAGCTCAGGTGTTTATCTGAGCCGTTTACCTGCCATGTGTCATGAGCAGCAGTAGTCTTTTTGCTGGTCTGTAATCCTGACAGGACTGAAGACCTGGATCTCCCTGATTTGGGCCACCTCTCGTGACCTTTGACCCCTGCATGTCTGCCTGACACTCACCTTCTTCATGATGCCTGTCTTCCTCTTGCTGAAAGTGGTGTACCGTCTCAGTTTGTTGTCGATGAACTCCATTTTGATCTTGACTCTGCCCCGGGTCTTCTTCCCGGGTTTGACTCCGGACCCCGGGGAGCTCACTCCTCCGTACCCCCGGTTCAGACCACCAGAAGAGTGTCCTGATGGACGACAGTCCTCCCTGTCGCTCCTCTCTCGCTTCACGCCCCTCTTGTCCCCGCCGGACCCTCCTGTGTCCTCTTCGTCCCCTGAGTCAGAGTCCAACTCGGAGCCGCTGAAAACCAACTCAGTGCGGTACTCCCGGTCCTCCAGTCGGCCTGCATCTGTCTCGGAAGCTGTGTTCGGTGCGGACCCGGTGGTACTGCCATTGCCCGTACTCCCTGATCCAGTTCTGGTGCCCATTACGGCCCCGTAAACCGTAGGTGGTCGCAGGGTCTGGCAGCCTCAGAGCTCCTTGTAGCGGCGCTGGGAGCAGGCAGCGTTCACCGGGGCTCGAGGCTCTCAGGCCGGGCAGCTCGGCTAACCGCCCCGCTAGCCGCTCGGCTAACCGCGTTCAACAAGTAGAGCCACTGCTCATCAGAAAACTGCAGGAATCAATGACTTGTCCCCCTCAGCGACCGCAACGCATCATATTGAAACACAGGCGACATTTTCAGACATTTTACCGCGGCTTGACCTAAAATTATTAATTAGTTTTGAAGTTGTTTTCTGCAGTCAAGAGCGAAACCCACCCCCAAATCACTCCGCTCCACATAAGGAAATGACGAACAGCATCTGAACGTCTCCGTCCGCCTTTAAATGTAGTTCTACAACATGGACGCATCTGGTTTACAACAGTCTCATTAAAATGTGACAGATTTAACCGAAGCTGTCATCGGCATGACTGATCATGTACGGTCCAATGCTGCTTAACGGTGAAGTTAAGGAGGACTGTGCGCACTGATACACACAGTGAAACAGTACGAGAACTACTTTCCTCCATATATAGAATCACCGGTCCTTTTCTGGACCGTCTCTCTTTATATGGTCAATAGGGCTCACTTCCGGTAGAACTTCAGACTGAACCAACACGTGGAGGAAGGAAGAAACAGATCTTCTGTTTAATGTTCTGTCAGATGTTCTGAGCTTCTGTTGCTCTATTAGACATTCTGTTGTTCTGTCAGTTGTTCTGTTATTCTGTTAGACTAAGATGCCCAGATTTCTGAAATTAAATCTAGGGACATATCCTGATGCATGCTCAATAATCCAGGCAGAAAAATCCAAAAAAGTTCAATCTGATCCTCTGGACATTCAAAAAAAAAAAGAAAAAAAAATTGTAGAAACGTTTCGTCTTTCATCTGAAAGACTTCCTCAGTCTGAGGTGCTGTATTCAGCTCAGTCTTATAAATAGCACCTTCTTGTAGTGGCTCAACCAGTTTGCTGCTGACAGCCAAAACCAGCTGCTCATATGATCAAGATAGAAGGACCATCAGCCTAACAATGGATCGTTACCACACTGATGGCTGTTTACTATTCACAGGGGGCTGAGTGATACTAGCAGTAACAGCATTGTAAGAGGGGGACAGTTGAACACGGAGGCCTCCACCCCTGTTTAATGAAGGACGATTTCTTTTCACAAAGATGGCCTCCTTACTCCTCTCTCAAACCATCGTTCCTCTCTGTCAAGGATGTGAACATCATCCCTGAAAGAGTGACCGCTGGCCTGGAGATGAGTGTAGACCGCAGAGTCCTGGCCTGATGATGTTGATCTTCAGTGGCTGTTAAGTTTCCTCGATGCAAGACTGATCACAGCTGTCGGATGAAAGATGAAACGTTTCTACAATTTTTATTTATTTTTTTTTTAATGTCCAGAGGACCAGATTTAACTTTTTTTGATGGGGACATTTCTAGCTCGGATACAAAAAAAAAAAGTTATCAAGATGAAATTAAGAAACGGGGACAGTTATGGTTTCATTTATTTATACATTTTTATTCACATTCAAACAATAACAATCAAATGTAGCAGCAGGAATGTGTCTCTCCACACACATTTCTTAAGAGTAATAAAACAAACAAAGTAATAGTAGTAGCAATGGTGTCAGAAGCATTTGTAATGCATATGTGTGTGTGGGGGGGTGGGGGGGGCATACTGGTGGGGGAGATATGGGAGTCCTCCCCCAGAAATGAAATATGAATAAAGTAAATTCCATTTCCTGCATTCTGGTGTATTTTAACGGGTTGTTAAACATCTACGTTTCCCTCCATATAATTCAATTCAGTTTATTTATATAGCACCAAATCACAACAAAGTTGTCTCAGGGCACTTTACAGGAACATTCACATAAAAGCCAATTAGTAAAGTTCTCCATCTAAGGAGGCCAGCAGACAAGTTGAATCTTGGCTTCGTTGCAGTCTCCCATCCTGAGCAAGCACAGTGGCAACAGTGGAAAGAAAAACTCCCTTTTTAAAGGAAGAAACCTCCAGCAGAACCAGGCTCAGGACAAGCGGCCGTCTGCTTTGACTGGCTGGTTTGTGAGAACAGAAAGGAGAGACAAACCAACACAGAATGGTAGGTCCAGAGATATATAAGTAAACACTTGATTCAATAACTATTTCAGAGAGTGTGGTGGTTTGAGTATTCTCCTATTAATCAAGTGGAATGGATTAGTTCACGAAGAAATAGAAACTGCGCTGGGGGAACTAATATGGTTCTGCGAGGTCTCTTCTGTCTGAAGAGCCATCAGCCATGGTAGGCATGGAGGTCTAGAATAAGAGCAGAAAACGTTATATACAGATAGTTTTTTTTTTTCGTTCAGCTGTTCCCTTCTTCAGGGGCCACCACACTGAACTAACTCGCACAAAGACTTGGCGATTGCTTTTATGCCCTTCCTGACGACAGCACAGACCACCGAGCTACCACAGCCCTCTGTGTGGAGCAGAGAGATGCTATCTAGGATGCCTGGTGGAACAAATGGTGTTAGTTGAGGGCCTTGCTCAAGGGCTCAGGGTGGGGCAAGTGAAGATGGAGGCAGGTGTGGGTGTTTCACCTTTCTCACTAAGATTTTGATATTTTCGTTCCGGGGAGTTGAAATCGGGGACGTTTGGTCACCCTATGTTAGACATTCTGTTGTTCTGTCAGATGTTGTTTGGTCTCAGCTCAGCCCGTGGTGATAGTATGAGCAGAAGCCCCGCCCTCAATCACCTGGACTACCTGTGAATGGCCGGAACAGGTTCTCACCTCCACACATGGACTCAGCTGAGACTTGAAACATTTCATCGTTTCTGAAGCTGCTTCATTTCAATTGATCAAGGGTTTGTTTTTGGTCTCCATGGTAACGGAGTCAAACCAGAGCTCACCTGCAGAGAGCGCCAGAACCCGCTGGCACAATTAACAGACAAGAGAAAAAGAAGTCCGAACCAGTCCTACTTGTTTCAGCACTGAGGTTGTGCTGCGCCAAACTTCCACTAAGAAATGTGTGACAAGTGCCGAACCGGCTCAAACAGCAGGTAGGTGCGACCTGAAAGAAACGGAGCCGCGTCATATGATCATGTGATGAGTTCCGGTCACTTCGGCAGAAAAAGTTCAGCCGCCTGTGGACTATAAGAACAGATCCAGGTCAGTTATGAGTTTCTGTGGATGTGGACCCAGCAGAAGTGTGGTTCCTGAAATCTCCCATTACATCGTTCTGCAGGATGTCCCTGCAGCTATGGTGCCTGTCCTTCCGGCAGCCGTACGCCGGTCTGGTTCTGAACGGGGTGAAGACCGTGGAGAGCCGCTGGAGGCCCCTGTTGGCCCCCCTGGAGAACCAGACCCTGGCGGTCCATGTGGCCTGGCGAGACTGGGAGGGGGACGAGTGGCGGTCCGTGCTGAGTGGCCCGTTGGGGATGAGCAAGGTCCAGATCCAGGATCTGCTGAACTCGGGGGAACGGTTTGGCCGTGGTGTGGTGGCAGGTCAGGAATTCAACCGTTGTATGTTTGAACTTCACGAGGCGTCACCTGTGAATCACCTACCTTTTCTTTCAGGACTGGTGGACGTGGGTGGGACCTGGCTCTGCCCCGCCTCTCCGGAGGAGGAGGAGCTTCATGATCTGGAGCGGTCGGCTGTTCTGATTGGTCTGCAGGACAAACACCTGACTCACCTGTCCAACCCCCGCTGGCTGAAGGAGCCGCTAAAAACCCGAGGAGCTCGAGACCTTTGGACTGTGGAGATCCCCGCTGAGCTGTTACCATGACGACAAGCGGTCCTGAGGACGCGTTTCCATGGCAACATGCGTTGTAAAGCCCCCTCTGCCTAGATGATACTTCAAGGTCCCCAGGTGACACTGTTTCCATACTGCCTTCCCATGAAGTCTTCTTTGGACCCTGATGACTAAGCTTCAGAGGAATTAACAAAGTCCATGCTCATTCATTTTTCTCCTCCATCCTTAAGAACTCAATTGGTACTTTCTGTCCTGTTCCTGTCTGCAGGGACCGGAACAAATGACACACATCAGCCTCAAGGACTGGAAGCTGGTCTGGTTTAGATCCTGTTGGTCCAAAGATGGGTTTTACTGAAAAATCCCAATCAGAACCGTGACCCAGTCTCTGGCTGTCTATTAAGACCGGCACGGGTTTCTACATTTCTCTTTAATAAATTTGAACTCAATTCAATGCACACACAGCGAGCATCCAGGTGACTCAAGTGTTCAAGTCATCAGGTTGAAGTTGGAAAATAAAACAAACTGTTTATTTTGTGTTGAATAATTTCACACACACACCCACACAAGGAAGCGCTCGCACGTCGTAAGCATTTCCAACAATTTGTTCCTGAACCAGTTTTATTCATCTAAACTGAAATGCTCATCAGAACCAGAACACAAGGAGGTCCCTCAGAAACAGGGACTGAGTCCACTACAACAAAAACATTACAAACTCAGAATTATTTGTTGCCTAGACAACAAAACTGTCCATAACAAGTTAAACAGGAAGTGACGGAGGCAGACATGTTAGCCACATGCTAAAGGCACCACAAAATAAAACATTTTTAATCATATGGCTCATCTGCCCGTCTCATTTGGTCTCCTTCAGGGACAGGAAGTAACTAAAAGGGTTACCTCAATAAAATCTAATGACATTAGCCACGAGCTAGCACTACATTGGGGGGATGTAGTGTGAGGTGGTGTGGTGAGGGGGTTGGGTAGAGATGTAACCCACCATGTGGGCTGGGTTGGGAGTGGGGCAGTAGACTCGAGGGGTGTGGCCTGCCGTTGGGAACGTCCCCCAATGAGATGAAGCAGGAAGACAAGGATGGTAGGAGGAGTGATGAGGAAGGTGGGTGTGGTGAGTAAGAGGGGGCGGAGCTGTATTCAGGTAAGTAGATGGAGGCGTAGCATCATACGGCAGGTGTAGCAGAGTCGGAGGAGGGTGGGGACCCTGATCTGGGTAGAGGAGAGCAGAAGGGGCGGAGCCTGGAAGAGCTGTGCCTACTGAGGAGGATGCGCCTTCCACTGAGGGAGGAGGACCTGTGGGAGGAGACAAGAGATTAACAGGTAATCAAAAACCTGTCACCTGAGTTCACAGGTGAACAGGGTCCACCTGCAGGACCCGGGACAGCAGAATAAGACCTGGACTAATGAGTTGGTCTGAACACCCCACAGCACAGTATCAGAAAGGGACTGACCACTGCCAAGTCCATCAGCCTGCCCATCTGCTGCCCTGGAGGATTCTGGGTAGGAGGAGAGGGGCTGGTGGGCAGTGCCTCGAGCGTTGTCAGAAAACAAAGGGGGGGCAGCTGTGGAGAGAAGACCAACAAACAGTGAATGTGGGGGTCAGATTTGGACCCGTTTAGGTCTGAAATAGGTCTCACCATGCAGAGGGGGCTCCTGGCTCAAATAAGGGGGATAGTGTTGGTAGGGGTAGGTGGGGTCAGGTGAGGCTGGGGGGTACACCTGCTGCTGCCAGCAGCTCTGATTGTACCACTGAGGAAGAGAAAGGTCAAAGGTCAGACAAAACCTGGACTCGTCGAACAGAACCGGACTCATAAAGGTGAGGGGGTGTGGTGGTCACACCTGGACTCCCAGGTTGAAGTAGTACTGGAGGACCCTGCAGTCTGTGCGCACACACACACACACACACACACACACACACACAGGTTAGAGAACATGACCTATGTGACCTCTCAGAGTCCAAACCCAGGGTCTCAGCGGGCTGCGACTGATGGAGAAGTTCCAGCAGAATTCACCTCCAAACGTTCTCCGGTTCCTTCAGTGGGTCACAGAGCCTGGCTACACGTCTCAGGAATTTGGAACCAAACATCTGTTAATCTAATTTTCATTCAACACTCCGTTATCGATGGCGTCTCCAAATCATCTGTGACTTTGGACCTGGGGTCAGCAAGAAGTAAAGAACCACCATCCTGATCCTGGATCAGGTCTCCAACAATCACAGCCCACTGGGACACCCAGAAAACTGAATCTGTGTGACCTCTAACCTCTGGGTAAATCGCTGCCATTTGGGTCATAGGAGTAGGGAGGCGGAGCCACAAAGGTGCTGACCGGCTCGCCCATCTCGTTAACCAACCAGGGAGCAGCAGCTGGTATGGTCATGGTAACTGACAAGAAATAAAAACGCCCGTCAAGTTTTAATGACGACTTTCGTGTCCAACCTCAGGTCACATGATTACCTGAGCGTGTCTGCATGTGAGTGGCAGGCGGCAGGTGAGCCGCTCCAGGTACCCGCGATGATGGAGATGATGGTGATGAAGAGGACGATGAAGGTGAGGAGCAGATGACTGCCAGGGGCTTCACAACCTGAAGGAAACACCTAGACATGTTCACCTGCAGGTGCAGCTGCAGTTAGCGGTTAGCATGTGGTGTTCAGGTGAGTTTACCTGCTGAGTGTAGCTGTAGCTCAGCTCTGGTCTGCTTGGAGAGTCAGCCGTTCCTCTTTCCTGCTCATCCTTTCACAATAAAACAAAAACCACCTCGTACGTCTGATCATGTTTGCTGTCATGACCTGGTGACCTCACCTGCCTGCCACACCTTGTTCACATTACAGACTTTCAGGGATGTTTCAAATTTAAATCAAGTACACCTGTCCATGTGTGACAAATTAACTTTAAAGTGGAGTTTCTGTACGTCGTAACGGGTCTGACTCAGTTTTCCTAACCAATCAGAGCTCTGCGTCTTCACTGTGCTGAGTGATGTCGTGAGGAGGGAGGAGCCATCTGTAAATTACCTGAGTGGAGGATGGCTCTTCAGCAGCATAAACGCCTGTCGGCTGGTAGCTTTGATCTGAAAAAGTTTAAGATGGTCACTTCCTGTTTCAACAGGAAAAATGGCAGCAGAGGACCTGGGTGGTGTTTCTCACCCTTACTCCTGTACAGGTACTCCTCCGTGTACTCCACTGTTCAAAGACAGATCACGACAGTCCATTCTGCCTCATCTCAAACTTTTACTTTGAAACTTCAACAGAAAGGGACTCACCCTGGTCCTCCACAGTACTTGTGTCCCCCTGGTCCTCCTCTGAGGAGCAGATGGGAGTGTTTCCAGGTGGAGGTGCAGGAGGGAGGGTCCCTGAGGCTCTCTGAACTCTGTAGGAGGAGCCAGAAGTGGATGGGGCTCCAATGGTGGGGGGAGGAGCTACAGAAGCGCCCTACAGAAGAGACAGTTTATCAAGTGGCAGTGATAGTGACCCAGTTTCTGAGGTTCTGCTTTCTTACAGCCAGTGGTGGGTAGATGGCGTCGTTGGCATCATCCAGCTGGTAGTACGCAATGGCTGCGTCCAAATCTGCCGGCTCGTCCACTGCGTCTGCTGGAAACCCAAACTGACACTCCTTGTTCAGAGATGACCCTAGCTGGCGCCGACTGCGACTGAACAGAAAGGGATCGATTTTAGACATGGGTTCTTCTGACAGGTTCTGGTCTGGTTCCACACAGCAGGGTCAGAGGAGAACCATCTCTTTGGATTAGAAACCATTCTGCTGGATTGCTCTGGTGTCATGTGACCAAACCCCTGTAAACTTCTAAACCCTAAAGGTCTGCTTTCATACACTACATCTAACTGACGTCTACTGGACATGATAGATTTGGGGAAGAAGTTCTGGTATTTCTGTTAACAGAAAGCATCTGTCACAAAGAGACCACTACTCACTGCCTAGAAGAGGGGCACTCAGTCTCCGTTAACGCGGACACTAGTTCTACGCTTCGTCTCCTTCCATGAGTTCTTGACCTAATCTTTAATAATTTTATTTGACTTAAATAGTTGTGATGTTGACTTTTTTTTTTTTTAACAGCCTTGGCCATCAGCTCCTCAGCAGACGTCCTGAGATCAGCCGACTGTAGCTTTACATAAACCTGCCAACAAAGTTCTGAACAATCACTACAGTTGTTGCTTACCCTGTAAGAAAGTAAACCGAGGTGACAATACAAAAACAAACAAACAAAAAAAAACAGTTTTGATCCGAAATCCCACGTCAGCGAGACGATGTTTCACTTTAGAGCGGCCTTTAAACGTCCCTCCTGTGCTTCAGCTCAGCCTCTACAAATGTAGCTGCAGCAGTTACTGACAGCAGTTGGTGGGTTCTTCAGAAGCAGCACATGAAACTAATGTTTGTTTGTCGTGACCTCATCAGTTTAAGTTTCCAGGTATAAAATTCTGCCCTCACCATGTAAACAGTTTGGACCCGGCCAACAGCTGACAAAATTCAAGGTGTGTTTACCGAGACCTGAAGGCGTAGTTCTCGTAGTCGTGGTAAAACCGCCTGCCGGTGTGGTAATAGGTCAACTGTGGACCAATCAGGTGACGGTTCAGGAAACGTGTGGAACTTCTGACCGGAACCCACGAGACCAACCCATTGGATGAAAACACAGAAACAGTATGGACAAAAAAAAGTGTTTAAATAGAAACTGACCAACAACAACAACAACAGACAGCTGCAGTCTCCAGTCTCACCTGGAGGATCCATAACGTGGGGGTCTGGCTGCGGGGTAGTGGTGGTGGTGGGGGACATAGGGGTCATAAGTCAGGGATCCAGGTGATGGAGGGAGGGGGGGGCGTGGATGACTTGCAGGTTGAAAGCGAGGAGGCAGAGCAGTGGGGGCGGGGCTCCCATAGGAGGCAGGCTGTAGCATGAGTAGCTCCGCCCCCTTGACGCCACTGCCCCGAGACTTCCTGAAATAACGATGACGATGGCGCTGACCTCGAGAGTCCGGTTCTGACAGGAAAAAACAGCATGAGCACACAGATTGGTCACATAAAACAGAACCAGGACCTGAAACGTACCCAGGTCCCCTTTCCTGGTTGGAGCTGCAACATTCCAGGCTGGAACCGGGTTCACCGGTTTTAGGTCCGTCAGAGGAACAAGGTGCCTAAGAAAAATACCCAACAGATCAACATCATGGACATTCAAGATTCTGGTTCACACCTGGTTCTGAGTTCAGATCCAATCTGTGAGTGTAGTTTTAGACCTGGTTCTGGCTCTTACTTCTCTCCCAGTTCCTCGATGAACACTGTGACGGCTGCACTGTGCGTTCCCACTTCTTGGATGAAGGCATTGTAGAACTTCCCCTTTGCTTCCAGACGGACCTGGAATCAGATCAACTGAAGATGTTGGTTCCAATTTCATTAAAGGTTCTGACCCAGCACAAACCACACCTCGTGGTTTAACCTGTCCAGGTATTACCTGACACTTGTCTCCCAGGAAGTACTGTCGCCCCGCGAACACCATGTAGTCTGTCTTCTGCATCTCTGTAACAGAACAGTAATCTGATTACAGAGCACAGATCGAACAGTAATCTGATTACACCTGTAGTTAGGTGAGCATTGAAACAGAAGAATGAATCAGAACTGTTCTGCAGAACCTGAAGGTTCCAGAGAAGCTCCATCATCAACAGTCTTCTGTTGCCCAACAGGAAGTTGGGATTTATTTATTTATTTTATTTATTTTATTATCATTCGACAGGCCACCTCAGTCTCTGCTTTTAAATCTCTCCTAAAAACGCATCTATACTCATTGACATTTAACACAGGGTTATCGGATTTAGATCTAGTTTTTCCATTGATGCCGATTCTGTTTATGCTTTTGTTATTATTCCTATTTAACACAAGGTCATCAGATCTGATTTAGTATTTCATTGTTTCTAATTATGTTTTCGGTTTTATATTTTTATTCCATGTGCTGTAAATATATCTTGCTACTTTTTATTTGATGATGTGATATTTTGTTAAGCACTTTAGTAACAGTTTGTTTTAAATGTGCTCTATAAATAAATCTGACTTGACTTATTAGAAATATACAAGCAACAACCAGGCTCTTATTTTGAAGAGTATGAGAGTTTTATTTAGTAACTCCTCAGGGTTAGGTACTTCCTGAACTACCAGCAGGGGACAGTTTGATGCTACAATAGATCAAGAGGTCCTGTCAGAAAACCCAAACAGAACTTCCTGGTTCTTCACTGTTTGGATCAGATACCACAGGTGACGTCCCATGTGAGACCAGGACTGAACTGACTTGACTGTCTTACCTTTGCAGGTGTCCTGCCACACATCAAACTCCAGGTTTCTGTAAACGTCTCCATCCAGAGACTTCAACACTTTGTAGGGCAGGGAAAGTCTGGAAGGGGGTGGGGCTTCAGCAGGAGCCTAAACAGCAACAACAACAATCTGAGGCCACCTGTATCATCAACAGGTGAAGCAGTTCCCAGCAGAAAGTTCAGATGGTTCTCATCACCAACATGTGAGTGGAGCCTCAGAGGACGCTCAGCAGGATCTAACGAAGACTGCGTACCTGGACTCTGACTCACCTTCATGTCCTCAGCTGGAGATCTGTCCTCAGCAGTTCCCCCTGCCTCCACCTCCTCCCTACCAAAAAACAAAACAAAACATGAGACCAGAGAACAGGTGATGAGTAGAGAACCAATCACAGAGCTCCAATGACTCAGATTAACGCTTTGGTTCAGAACTTTAGCTTCAACTTCAGCGCATCTTAACAGACAAACAGGAGCTCTGAGTGCAGAGACTGACGTACCAGATGGTTCTGATGAACTGACCTGTGTGTGTGTCTGTGCCTGTCTCAGAGTGATGACACCATCACTGTGTTACCTGTGTCCTCGGTCCTCAAGTATATCATAGCCAACATCCACATCACTGCACACCGACGGACTGTTTCTATAGCGACGACTACCGATCCTGAAGGCCTCCATGGCTTGAAAGAGCTCCGCCTCCTCCAGTCCGAACACCTGAGTGTAGAGCAGCTCGTACAGAAGAGCTGAACACAGAGATAAACCTGAGCAGGTAAACCCACAATCACGCTGTAACTGTAATGGCTGTTAACTGTCCATGCGGTGGCCATTTATAAAGTCTCTGTCACTCTCACTAATCTTTTCCACTTCCTGGTCAACAGTTTCTATAACCTATGCTCTTCTTTATCATTCTCTTCACTCATTATCTCCTCATAGTACTCCTTCCATCTTCCTGTAACACTCACTTGTTAGAACATTACCATTCCCATCTTTAACAAGCCTAACTTGCTGCACATCCTTTCCAGCCTGATCCCCGTCTTGCCAATCAGTGCAAGTCCTTCTCACCCTCTTTAGTGTCCAGCCTCCCATACAACTCAGAATATGCCTTCCGCTTTGCCTTTGCTATCTCCCTCCTTGCCCTACATTGTATCTCCTTAAATTTATGTCTCCTCTCTTCAGTCCTCTTACTGTCATATCTTCTTGGCTAACCCCTTTATTTGAATAACTTCCTACACTTCACTATTCTACCACCAGGTTTCCTTATCAGTCCAGATGACACACCAAGTACATTCCTGCCAGTCTCTCTAATTATTGTTGCTGTAGTAGCTCAGTCATTTTGGAAGCTCTTTCTTACCACCCAAAGCCTTTAACAGCTCCTCTCTGAATTCCCCACACGTTCTTCTTTCTTCAGCTTCCACCATTTGGTTTTCTGTGATTTTACTCTTTTTCTCTTCTTCACAACAGCAGCCATTCTACACACATCTATCCAATGCTGTTTGGCCACGTTCTCCCCTGCCACAACCTTACAGTCCCCAATCTCCCCCAGGTTTCCTCTTCTACACAGAATGTAGTTGACCTGCATACTCCTCCCTCCACTCTAAAAAGTCACTGTTACTCCCTCTTTTGGAAGAATATGTTGACTATAGTCATTTCATTCTTTTGGCAAAATCCAAAATTATAGGTCTTTCCTGGTTTCTATCCTTGACACCAAACCTATCCATCACTTCCTCATCAATTCTGTTTCCTTCAACATGTCCATTCAGGTCTGCTTTGATCACCACCCTCTCCTCACTGGGAATACACCATCACTTCATCCAGATCCTTCCATATCACATCCAACCTGTGAAGCATAGCCACTGACAACATTTAGTATCAGACCTTCAGACACATCACCCTATCTGACACTACTACATTTTTTGCCAACTCCTCCTTCAGGACCACCCCTACTCATTTCTCTTTCTATCCACACCATGGTAAAACTGTTTAAACCCTGCTCCAATGCTGCAAGCCTTGCTGCCCTTCCACTACGTGTCTCTTGGACACAAAACATCTACCTTCCTTCTCTGCATCAATCCAAACAAAAGGTTAAAAACAAACAACAACAACTGGACTTCTGTTCTGAAGAAGTTTCAGTTCTTACTAGGGAGGCTTCATCAATTCTCAAACGTCTGGAGTGTGAGGCACTCATGAGAGGCATAACAAGGCCTCAGGCAGTTTTGTCCATTGTTGTTTACAGATGCAGTGGTTGTTGTGACTTTCAGACTCACACTGGCAGAGTGCGGCAGAGGTGGGGTAACTCCTCGGGTAAACAATGTCATAGTGACCATTGATGGAGCAGCACAGCGTCACCTAGGCAAGAAAACCGACAGTTAGCTGCAACCAATCAGAGGCCAGTCTATTCACATTACCATGGCAACCACAATCTTCCTCACTTGATCCACAAAGTCGTCCTCAGTGATGACAGTAGCTGGTTTCCCGGGGTAACGGTAGATCAGAAAGCACCGCCTACATGCGAGGCAAAACAGGAAGTTAGCTGACAGCGGCTGTTGTCATGTGACCTGCTTCAGTCGGAGTCATGTGAGACAGGTGTGCTGAGTTTACCTGTAGAGCTGAGACAGAGCCTTGATCTCCACCTGACCCACTGTTTCCTGCAACACACACAGGTGTTATTGTGTTCAGTGGTGTGTGTGTGTGTGTGTGTGTCAGCTGCTCACCTTGGGATCCTCCAGACGCTGCAGGTATTTCTCAAAGGATCCTTCAACAAACTGAAACAGAAAAAGTTCTGGGACCTTGTTCCATCTGGTTCTGGCCCAGTTTATGAGAGATGTTCTTGTGTGTGTGTTGGACTCACCGGCTCAAAGTTACACCTGTTGGCCCGCATGAAGCCAGCACAGTCCAGTCGGATCTTCTGATGGTAGTTTTGAGAGTAATACAGCTGTGGGTCAGACAGAACAAAACGGGTTAGACATAACGGGTCAGAACCAACAGGTCAGTCAGAACCAACGGGTCAGTCAGAACCCGTTTCTGATCTTTATCCATGTATTGCCACTCTGATTGCATGAGGCTTCTGCTCCTTTCGCTTCACTTTTGCCATATCCAATATGGCGGCGACGTCGACGTATGACTTAGTGCTCAATGAAGTCTAGTGGTATATACCGGTCTGTAGTTCTGGGTACTGGTCGTGTTCCGGACCGGAGCAGTTCTGATCATATTCCTGAAATAATTCAGGGTTCGGACCCAAGAGCCCAGTTGAGCCACACTAACAGGATCCAATAAAACACCGGACCAGCTGAACTTCCCACCTGCACAGGTGACTTTGCTGACAACAGCGTGTTCGTGCGCGTGGTCTCATACCGAAAGGAACCCAATCCGTTCCGCAGCTTCTAAATTCTTTAAATTAAAGTTATATTGTCCACTGTCTGAACGGAACCACACCGGAATGGACCCTGACCCTGTTCGGACCTTGACCCGGCTCACCTGCTCTGACACGGCCCGGAACAGACTGGACGCGTCTCGCGCCACCATCTTCCGGTACAAACCCAAACTGGACAAGTACTCGTCCATGTTCATGAAGTACTTCTTCAGGCCTTTCTGCATCCCGCCGCCAAACCGAACCGAACTCCAGGAACCAGGTGGACACCTCCTCACACAGCTCTGGCCTCAGCGGCGCCAACAGCTGAGTCCAATCAGGTCTGATGAGCTCGAGACCCAGTGAGGCGTTCATGGACCCACCGAGGCTCGGAACCAGCCCCATCATGCGTCCAACCTTCATCCAACCATCTAACCTTCATCCAGTCATCAAACATGCATCCAACCTTCATCCAACCATCAGACATGTATCCAACCTTTCAACCTTCATCCAGTCATCAAACATCCATCTAACCTTCATCCAACTAAATTCAGTTCAGTTTATTTATATAGCACCAAGTCACAACAGAAGTTATCTCAGGGCTCTGAACAGAAACATTCACATACATCATAAACATCAATTAGTGACGTTATCTATTTAAGGAAGGAAGCCATCCACAGAGACTTTTCCAGCTCTTCTTTGTGGACTAGTGTCTTTTTTTAGTGTTCTCAGGACAACCAAGAGACAGTTTCTCAAACATACCTTGGGTTACCCCGGAGTCTCCTCCCAGGTCAGACATGCCCGAAGCACCTCCCTAGAGAGGCACCCAGGGGGTACCCTTACCAGGTGCCCTAACCACCTCTACTGGCTCCCCTCGATGTGGAGGAGAAGCAGTTCTACTCCGAGTCTCTCCCAGATAACTGAACTTCTCACCCTATCTCTAAGGGAGAGTCCAGCTACCCTGTGGAGGAAATTAATTTCAACTGCCTGTATTTGCAATCTCAATTTTCAGTCAAAGTTCACGGCCATATGTGAGTGAAGGAGCATTGACTGATGGGTACACAGAGAGCTTTGCCTTACAACTCAGCTCCCTCCTTACCACAACAGAAACGTTCGTTGTCTGTCCTGTCACCTAGAACCAATTTGCCTTGGGAGATCCTACCATGGACAATCAGATCATTCAGGCACACAACCTCCTCCACCACGATACCACAGCATGTCAGGCAGGCTCCCTCTCTCCCTGTTTATAAGTCTCATCTAAAAACACACTTTTATTCCCTGGCTTTAGATCCAGTGTGTTTATGTTAACTTCATTGTGTTTTTATTATTTTAACCATTTAGTTTATTATCTGTACCTCTGTGAATTTTATGTTTCTTATCCTCTGTCCTTTGCTTTGTTTTGTTGTACAGCACTTTGGTTGGCCTTGCTGCTGTTTTAAGTGTTTTATGGTATGGTTGTTGTTTATACAATATGTTGTTGTTGTTGACAACAAAGTTCATGCTCAATAATCCAGGTATACAATCCAACATTTTTCAGTCAGGTCATCTGGACAGTTTCTTTTTTTGTGTGTGCTGAAACGTTTCGCCTTCAATCTGGAAGGCTTCATCAGTCAAGGAAACACACAACAAAACTTATTATTCCCCCAACAGCTTATTCCAAAGTGGAACAAACCAGTTTTGCTTGTGATAAGATGGTCTCTTTGGTACACCTCCTCCTCCATTGCCAGCCCTCTTCCTTGTTGCCAGTCGTGTCAAACTGGTTGAAAACAACAAAGTCCATGCTCAATAATCCAGGTATACAATCCATTATTGAGCATGGACTTTGTTGTTTTCAACAAGTTTGACATGACTGTCAACAAGGAAGAGGGCCGGCAATGGAGGAGGGGGCGTTGCCAAAGAGACCATCTTATCACAAGCAGAACTGGTTTGTTCCACTTTGAAGTAAGCTGATGGGGGAAGAATCAGTTTTGTTGTGTGTTTCCTTGACTGATGAAGCCTTCCAGATCGAAGGCAACACGTTTCAGCACAAAAAAAAAAAAGAAACTGTCCAGATGACCTGACTGAAAAATGTTGGGTATGTTTTCAAAAAGCGTTCAATACAAAAACAACTGGACTTTATTTGTAACAGAAGACGTTTCGCTCCTCATCCGAGGAGCTAAACGTCTTCTGTTACAAATAAAGTCCAGTTGTTTTTGTATTGAACGCTTTTTGAATTCATCATGTCCTGGATGACTGAGAATCTTCACCAGCATGTTGGGTATGTTGTTGTATTTCCTCCTCAGCTGCAGTAACTCCTCAGTCCTCCAGGTGGCGGTGCACATCTCATTCTGCTCTCGATTGAAGCAGAAGAAGAACTAGGTCTCACACTGCGCATGCGCTTTTCTGAAGTTTATAGCAAAGGCAGTCACCATGGTTCCGGTCCGGTCCAGGTCGCTCAGATTGTGATCCAGATGCTCCGACTGCTCCCCCGGAGGCTCCGGCCTCCCTCTGCGGTCTCAGGGCGCTCCTTCAGCGGCCTTCCTCCGCCGCTTCCCGCCGCTCAGGTCCGATCGACCTTCGTGGACTTCTTCCAGGATAAACAAGGACACCTGCTGGTTCCGTCGTCTCCGGTCCGGCCCAGAGGAGACCCTAGTTTGCTGTTTGTCAATGCCGGCATGAACCAGGTCAGTCTGGGTCTAATGGCTCCGGTCCGACACGGGATAACCTTTTCAAATAAGAGTTGTTTAATCTAGATCAAATATTTTCAAAATAAAAGTCTCATCTGATGCAGCAGCCAGAGGAACCCGGTCCAATCAGAACCCGGGAAACATCAAACAATGTAAAAATGAATATTGAAGTTGTTGAATACATCTTTGATTCAAACCGTGCTACACAAGGGTCGAACCAGAACCAGGACGGACCAGGACTCTAAAGGTCAAAGGTCACATTCAGTGAACATCGGCTCACCTGCTGGGTGTCTGAGGACCTGGGAGGTTCTGTCCAAATGGGTTTCTGGTCCGTTTGTAATTTCTGTCAGTTTTTTGATGTGCAGGTCCTGGTTCTGGTGGGTTACATTCATGACCCAAACATCTTCACACGATGAGCATCTTGCTGAAGCATTGGTTCTGAAAACCCGGATGTCTGGTTCTGAAAGTGTGACCACAGAGACCTGGGCCCAGTTGAGGCTCTGCAGTCCAGAACATACAGAATATTTTTAACAACTATCAGCCGAACTGAGTGGGTCGGGTTGACCTTTCTGATCCCTGTGCTGCTGAAGGATGGGGTGGTTCGTTTTATTGGGCCAGTCTACCAGAACCAGGATTCAGCAATAAATCCAAACCTGGAGGACAAATGGGGACGGCAGAGTGAGGGACGACGACGACAATTTGTCCTCCAGGGGTCCTTTTATTTCTGTCAGAAATCAATTTTTAAAAACTTTTTGTCAACGGATTTATTTGGACCATGACTGATTGATGACAAAAATCTTCAACAGAACATCTGGACCCGGGTGACGACCCGAAGGATCTCGCTGTAAAATTTCAGTTTTCTTAAAGAACCTGACTAGAATCAGCCAGGATTTAATGTCCAGGATTTGTTTGCGTTCCGTCTGTCCCGGTTTCAGTTCAAGCCCATCTTCCTGGGAACCGCAGATCCCCACAGCGAGATGGCCCGGTACCGCCGAGTGGTCAACAGTCAGAAGTGCATCCGAGCCGGCGGGAAACACAACGACCTGCAGGACGTGGGCCGGGACGGGTACCACCACACCTTCTTCGAGATGCTCGGAAACTGGTCCTTTGGAGACTACTTCAAGGTGGGAGGAGCTATTTCAAATATGGACACTTCCTGTTAGAGTGGGCGGAGACTTACTCTGTAAATGTCTATAATCAGGAGGAGGCGTGTGGGATGGCGTGGAGTCTCCTCACAGAGCATTATGGGATACCTGCAGACAGACTGTATGTCTCCTACTTTGGCGGAGACGCCGCCTCCGGACTACCAGCAGATGAGGAGACCCGACAAATCTGGCTGGACCTGAGGTCAGTTCAGTTCTGACTTCAGCCCCACTTCAGCTTCTAGTTCTGACTATGCTGACCGGCTCTGTCCTCCCCAGGGTTCCTCCTGCTCGAGTCCTGCCCTTTGGACTGAAGGACAACTTTTGGGAGATGGGAGACACAGGTCCCTGTGGTCCCTGCACTGAGATCCACTATGACCATGTGGGAGGACGGGACGCAGCAAGCCTCATCAACGCAGACTGTCCGGACGTGGTGGAGGTCTGGAACCTGGTCTTTATCCAGTACAACAGGTCAGTGTTCACACCTAGATCTTTTATAGATCACATGAGACCAGTTCAGACTACATGAGACCAGGACCTGGGCTCGAGATTGAGGGTCCACTGGGCTCAGCTGTCAGTATGTTGCAGGGAGGTGGACCAGAGTCTTCGTCTGTTGCCCCAGTTTAGCGTTGATACTGGGATGGGACTAGAGCGCCTGGTGGGCGTCCTGCAGGGCCAGCGGTCCAACTACAACACAGACCTGTTCCTGCCACTGCTTGATGCCATCCACCAAGTCCGTACAGGTCCATGGTCTAGGTGAACCCTGTCCAGGTGATATGCCCGTCTCCATGGTAATGTGTGTGTTGTGTCCTCAGAGGTCCGGAGTGGGACCTTATGCTGGCAGGATGGAGACAGCAAATGAGGGACGGGTGGACCTGGCCTACAGAGTTGTGGCAGACCACATCAGAACTTTATCGGTCTGCATCGCTGACGGAGTCTATCCTGGGATGTCTGGAGCTGAGTGAGTCTCCATCCAATCAGCTGTCAGTTCTGTGATGTCATTCGTTAACGTTTTGTTTGTTTGTCAGACTGGTGCTGAGGAGGATTTTGAGGCGAGCTGTTCGGTTCTGTATCGAGGTCCTGAAGGCCCCGCAGGGAGCACTGGCCAGCCTGGTGCCTACCGTCAGTCACACTCTGGTAAATTACATTTCCCATAATGCCTCAGAGCTGGGAGTAAAGAGGAGGAGCTTCATGTTCCACCAGTTCATTGATCTGAATCTACATCAGAATAGATGTTTAACCAAACCACAACCAGAGAGCTAAGGAATAGGTGAAAAGCCTTTTGGGGGGGGTGTTTACTGATTGCTTGGTTGGTTAGCTGTTTAGTAGTTCAGTTGCTTGGTTAGTCAGCTGATTAATAGTTTGATTGCTTGGATAGTCAGCTGGTTAGTAGTTTAGTTG